TAAAACAGAATACATATATTCAATTGTCTGACAGGAATGCTCATCATTGTTATTTATCCTCCGTAGCTGTGACAAATTATCTGTCAGATAGGCATAGTCAATTTATGAAGGCCTTCAAAGGAAACGTATCCTTAAGTAGAAAAACATATGCATACGGTACTTAATCAGTGGATCGCAGTATTTTAATTTGGAAAAAAGCATGTAGTAAAAGAAAATATAAAATGTTTTGTTACATTTATTTGACAGTTGAATCAACAGCAATCCATTTATTTGACACTAAGTGCTTTTTAGGCTAATAAATTTTAATACAGTAGAAATTACACTACACTTATATATAATCAAACGTGCATAAACACACTTTTTAAGTGAAACATACCCTAACACGACTCTTCCTGTCTTTCAATACATACAGGATGTGCAGAAATTGAATGATAATCCTGCAAATAGAAGTGGGTCATATCATGACCTAGTGTTTGCCAGAATTGTCTTTAGTCAAAAGTATCAAGGTCTTCGAGATCAGCGATTAATGTTTTTAGCAAAAATCGACATTCTAGTCTAGTTGAATTGTTGCTATTTCCACAAATATCGATTTTTTGAACTGAGTTTGTTTCAAAATATTCGTAATCCATTGATTCACCAAAATCAGTGTTTTTCAACATAATCCTGTTGCAACGTTTTAATCAAAATCAATGTACAAAGCATTTTTTGATATTAAAGAAACAAGACGATCCTCCATATAAATTTCTGTTAAAAGAAAACAGCCAACGAAATGTTAGTAAAACAGTATCATTCTGAAGATCGCATCAAATTTACAACGGTGCATGGTGATCCTATTCCATTCTTTATTACTAAAGGGTGTCAAAGTTAGACATATAAATTGGTTTTCATTGAAATCACAATTATTCACAATTGTGTATATTTTGAAACAAACTCAGCTTAACAAATTATATTTGTAGATATGGCAACAATTTTATTAGACCAGCGACGATTTTTGCTAAAAAATTGACTTCTGTTTATCTTGAAAAGCATGAGTCTAGTGCTGAAAATTTTGGCAAACAGTAGATCATGATGAGACCTATTTCCAGTTGCAGAATTATCATTAAACTTCCGGATAACCTGTAGATCCGGATGTGCATGTTTATATATCGTTAATCTTGACCTTAGTTATCATAAGATACTGACTGATGTTAGGACACTTAAAAACTCTTTTTAACTGAGTATTTCTGAAAATTCCTTTTTTGAGATTATTTTGCTGATGCAACAACTGGAAATTATCCTGTAGGAGTTTGACCATAGTCAGTAAATCTATCAATCTTTCACATCTTTGATTTCATTTGGCGACCACTGAAATATGGAGATATACTCCTTTGACTTCAAGAATAACCAGAATCAGATAGATACATCTTATACATTACCTACTATAGTTATTATCCGAAATGTCAAAATTCCTTTGAAGCTATGGACTGTACATCCTCTAGGAAGATCAAATGATCAATAAAGAAAACAGATATTTTAGGGCCATATGACCCAAGAATTATACCTGAGATAGCACATGCTGGTAACTCATGGCAAAAATGCCCTTGGATTAATAAGTCACTAACATTTTCACTCGTTCTTCACCGATAAAAAGAAAGTGTTAAAAGTGCACATTACAATATTTTTGAAGGAAACATTTTTAAGGAAAACGTAAATAAAATTATTCAAAATTATAAATAAAATCTTTGCAATATAATCACATATTTTTTGGTTGGTAACATAAATCAGTCCTTCAGTCCTAAATTTTAGTTTACATATAAAATATATATAGGTAAATATGGGCTACTATTTCCATTGAATTATATTAAAATAGCTAACGGTTACGTTGAAAAATACTCTTGCTCAATATTATCGTCGCTTAGGCAATATGTAACGATAATGAAATTTGTTATGAAATTTCAGTTCAAGTTTTTATATGGCAACTGGAAACCTGACACAACGGAAGTTTTAATAGTATTATGCTCTAATGTGACAAACATCGGTTCGAGGGGTTGCCAAATGCTCTGCTAGTTATGGTAAGGGAAGAAGTAGTGTAGATGTGACAGCATCCGCTGGTATTTAACAAAACATAATTTGCATTTGCCCGGTTGCCAGTTGTCGAATGCGAAAATTTCATAACAAATCTCATACCATGTTATGGAACCCTCAAGAGGCATGGTCATGACATATCTTTATTTATCTGTGCATAGAGTACTTCAACAAAATGCTTCTGAAAAAATGATGAAATCATTCGCTTTATAGGACTGATAGTTGTGACATTTCAGCCACCTCGGGGGCCTTTTTCAAAATATAAATTTAAAATGATAAAGGTAATATACTATATAAAATGTATTCATAGATAAGGAGGCCACCGAAATAGCTAAAACGTTGGTAAAGATTCAATCCAGGTTACTCCTAATTGGATGTCAATATTCAAGGGGTAAAATATAAGTAAAAAGATCATCCAAACATTCGTCCTAAACGTCTTAACTTTTGAGGTATAGGGTGGTAAAGTTTTAAAATATAAATTATTAATTTTACTGTACCTAAATACCAGTCAGGATATTTTAATGAAATTTTTTATACAGGGTGACTTCGAAGTTGAGTCATTCATTTTAACAGTGAGTAGATCTGATCAAAAGAAATGTTTTTTTCCTTTACCATTTTCCTGGTAAAATTAAAGTAACAAAGTTATAGCCCTTTGGAAGTTTGAGTACCGCCCTGTCTCAATAATAATATTATGTGCTCGTGTTTGGAGACAACAGATATAATCCGCCGTATCGGTTCATCGCATCGGAAACAAAAAAGCGAAAGAATTTGGAACGATGTTTTTACAATTATTTCATTCATTTGTATACAGTCAGTGTCAGTGAATAGTGGTATCTGTTGCGTGGCTCAAATGAAATAAAAAATGGCACATGTTTATGCGGATCGGTTTCCCAATCGAGTGCCTTTGTTAATGTAGTACAACGGGCTCGTGAATCAGGTGACTTAAGACCTCACAGGGGACCTCACGATCAAATACAGGTCCGCACTGAAATACTTGTCGGGAGGATACTTTATAAAACAAGGTAAAACATTTTTTTTAATTTTTTTTTTATTTTTACACACATATTTTGGTTTATCTTCCTTCTACAATCATTATCTGAAAATTAATGACTCAACTTCAAAGTCACCCTTTATATGTGCTATGTATTAGGTGGCATTTTTCAACATGCTACATTTTTTCTTAATTCACACCAGTGGCGCTCGTATGGAATTTCTCCTGCCTACTTTAGCAGATATGATGGTACACTATTGATTTATCTTAAAATAAAAATTATTCTAGATATCCTCAGTCACTTTTAAGTAAATTTAATTTAATTTTTTCAATCCGATGCACGGATTTCACTTAAAAAATAAAAACCCTTTCTCTGCATGATATAACAATATCGTTAATATGGCAATATCACCATGCAGAGAAATAGCTTTTAGATTTTTAGGTGAAAACCATGCGGCGGACTAAAAAAATTCAAGAGATCAAATTTGTTTTAATTTTTTTCATTTTAAAGAAGGTCAGAGGCGTGCCACCGAATTCCAATATTGAAAACTTTACCACCCTGCATCTTAAGAGTTGACACGTTTAGGACATAGATTCATGCGAAGTTCTTGTTAAAATGGACCCAAAAATCTCCCATTTAAATATTGACATTGAATTAGGAGACACTTTAGTTTTATTTGGTGGCCAGTAGAACCTAGACATAAGTTTCGATGTATAAGTTCGGACAATTTATTGTTTTCAAGAAAATAAACTAAACATCTTTGGTTCATGCGCAGAAACAGCTTATATTCTGCTTGCTCATGTGACATTAATTTTAGATTCAACTATTCATTGAAGTTGCTGCCAGAGTCTCCGATTTCTTTACTAAGAGCTCGATCATACTTTAATTTATAGTTTGTTCAGAATGCAAGACACAGCTCAAAATAATTTGGGGAGAGTATGCTAGCTGGGCACTTTTGCTGCTGCTGCAATTCGATATCTCAAGCATGTGTCTCGTATTCCGAATCATGAATTCTGAATTAACCAAGAATTTCTGAAGCACATGTAGTGCGTAAAATAGAACTGAGGTGGTGTGGCGTGGTAATACTTTATAAACAATGGCACTACTACTTTGTTGATTGCACGTTTCATATCGAAAATTTGCTTGCTTAATCTCATTTGGCATATTTTTTACATCGAACGACTAGATCGTTGATCTTATATTTATTTTCCACATTCATGCTACTCGGGCAGCAGCTTTACAAATAGCTAATCTAGTTATCTATAAAATGAATGCGACCAAATTCGTCTAGTTGTTTCACGAGCTGAATATGCTCTGTCTGGAAGCAAGCAAAACACATCGATAAATTACAAACATTGCAATAAGTACTGACTTTTCTAGCGTACTGAGACGCATACTTGCTACTCATCTCTACTTTCATTCTTTGGTAACAACCATAGCAACGTTTTCTCGTTATAGCTCTTGGTCCGTCCCTTTCCATCAAAACATGCGGAGCGTCTTTGTCATATGGTTCTTCTTTTTTAACATCTGAAATTATAATGCATCAGTAATATGGAACGTAAAAGATAATAATCAAAAGTAGAATGAATTTACCTTGAACACATTTTCTATAATCAAACTACATACAGAGGCTTCGAAAAAGGGGGGACCTACTTATTTTCTAAACGAGACAAGTTAGAGAGCTGAAATTTAAGGGAATTAAATTAATGCAGAAATAGTGTTTTAGCGTAAAAGTAGCAGCTGAAACTTCAGGATGGCGGTTTATGAGTATTTTATAAGCCTATGATGTAAAATCAATATCTTTCAAAATAACGATCTAGCAAGCTGTTACAGTTGAGCGTTTTCGTACATTGAGTCGCTAACTGGCGTGGAAGTTTTTCTCTAGGTAGAATCAGCAATTTCCCAGAAAAATCGAGAAAGGAATAGGAATGAACGATTTAACTCCTGTGGTAATAAAACATCTTTATTTATTTTATATAAACTTTAAACGAGAACTCAAATGAAATAAAAGAAAGAATACGGTAACAAAATACAGTGTCTCTATTTTCGATCTTTATCACATGGTTGCCATACAGCCCATGTTTTAGGTTTAATGTAGACTCGTTCGTTGTTCAGCAATGATTGGCCTTTACACTTATCTGCGTGCTTTCTCAGTAGCTGGATTTGATCAAAGATGATTCCACAGCGGCCACATCTGTAAGGTAGCACCTTGTGCCTCTCTCGGAAGTGCCGGGGTAGTCCTTCAGGATTTTCGATAATCTGGTTGCAGTAACCGCAAGTCACCTTGCGAGATTTGACAGTACCTGGAACAAAAATTGTGTGTACAGGGGGCGCTTGATAAGTAGTGAGATTGACGTCCGTGGAGCGGCGCGTCTTAGTCTGTTCCATTGTGGTCTCCGGTTGTTAGATTTGTGACGGAAGATCTGAACTAAGAATATAACATTGAATCTATGAAGTAGTAAGGGTGGAGTTCTGCGATATTGATTGCGTATTATTTTGATTTGATTGAGTAAAACTGCAATAGAAACGTGCGCACATTCCTCGTGCCTAAAGTTTTGTGAGTCGTGTAGACTTATACGGCGCACAGTGGAGCCAGAGCCCGGAATGTCTGACCAAAACCACTTCCCTTCCCGAAAGCGAACAAGACTAGAATTAAAGTGCTCATAACTACATTATGCGTTATATGCCCCAATAAAATCATTTTCAAGTCTATTCTAGTATAGGGTAAATTCAACAGACCAATTCCAAATCCGAAGATCGAGATCGAGAACTTCTAAGGCTTACATGTTAGAAAATATATACTATTTGATTTTTTGTATTTTTATGAAATAATGTGTAATAATCGAAGTCTGAGAAGATTGGATTCATAATTCTGGATTATGTCGAACTAACTAAATAGTATCATTAAGACATAGAAACACGGTAACGTGTGATCGGCTGCTTTTATACTCAGCAAAAACAAATGTACGTTTACCGTTTTCATAATCTATATCATTTCTCCAAAGAAACAACGCAGTAATTCTGAATTGTGTTACGGCAATATAATTTGTTCATGTTGAAATTTAGGCATATTGCACAAAATATTGAGAGCGATCCAATTTAATAATTGTATAATTACATTTACATTTAATAACATTGAACTACATACAAACGTAAACTAGATAGGCATAAAGAAAAAATCAAGAAAAATATATCCACAGCCAATGAGAAAATGATTTGCGTAGGAACATGGAATACAAGAACTCTCACAGGGAAAGAAGAAGAATTAATAAGGGAATTCGAAAAAACAAAGCTTAAACTATTAGGAATAACCGAAACGAAAATGAAAGGACAAGGACCGAGTTAATAAAAGATCAATTGTTGATAAATAGTGGAGCAACAGATACAAAAAGGGGTAGTGAAGGAGTGGCTTGGGTGTTTCACAAAAATTGGAAAGCTGAAGAACACTAAAAATAAAAATGCTAATTGAAGGAAACGTGGAATTAGATTGTATAAGTATACGGCTCCAACGCAGATGACAAAAAAGAAAATAATGAAACATTTTACACCATGTTATAGGAGATAGCGGATAGACAACAAACGACATAATAATTGTAGGGGACATGAATGCAAGGGTTGGGAAAGATGTAAGTAGATATGCTCCAACCATAGGGAAACACGGAGAAACAACATTAAACGACAAAGAAAGAAGCTACTGGAATTTTGTATGGAGAATGAGTTGATAACAAGTAACACCAAATTCCAACAGAGAGATATTCACAAGTATACCCGAGTACTCACAGGTAGAAATGAAAAGTCTATCATTGGTTACATAATAGCTTCAAAAACACCAATCTAGAAAATCAAAGACACAAGAGTCAAAAGAGGTTTTGAAACAGGGAGTGACGATTATCTCGTGGAAACAAAAATAAATATCTTGCAAGAAAATAATAAGGAGACCAGGAAACACCGATATTGATATTTTGATAAAAAGCTCTAACATTACCTAAAATATGCAAATCATCACAGTATCAACACATTATGGAACGCATTTCAAACATATATTGAGTAGAGGTGTGTGGAGTAACGGTACAGAAAGCAAACCGCGTGCTGGACACACATGCAGTAAAACAGAAAAAGAAAGCGTTAAAAATATACGTAGCAAAACAGACCGTTGAATCCTACATAAAATATAGAAAACACCGGAAAAAGAAAAAGCAGAAGGTCATAAATGCTAAATGAATCTCATGGCAAAAATTCGGAGAAAAAATGGAGGAAAACATTAATGGAAATCAAACATTATTCTACAGAGCGTTGGTGAAGAATTAGAAAATGCCTAAAGTAAAGTTAAAGTCGGGAAAGCCCCAGGACATTGCTTAATAACAGTAGAGATGGTGAAGTACATGGGAGAAATATGGAAAAGAGTATTTTTAGAATAGTTTGCTAAGGTATCGGAGGAGAATGAACTACCGAAAAACTGAGAGTTAGAAATTATACTACCATTATTTAAAAAAGTAGATACACAGGTATGTGAGCATATGAGAGCATACTAACCGAAAGACTAAAGGGGGAAATAGAGAGCAACCTCTATGCTTAAGAAATGTAATTAATATGAAATATATGGCAAGTAGAAAAGTAACTATTTCTATTAAATAACGTGATCGATGGTATATTTAGCAATTGTTATTATAACAGAAATGTATTGGCGTCAAAATTTAAAACAGGCAGTAAAAGAACTTTACTGTTTTTTTACCAAGTACGGCAGTATAGGTTTTGGTGATTCTCGTCATGCGATTTTTTCACTATAGTTTTCTATAGATATTAAATCATCTTCTTCATCTGATAGATTTAGCAAATATCCTAAGATGTTAGAAATAAATATAGCTTTATATCCCCTGGAATGGAGAGTCCTGCAGTCATGTTGAGATTCATTCCTTCCGGGTCAGAGGAAACGCACCCACATCTATTCGAAACTGTCGCTTTCAAATAACTGATATCAAAAACTAACGGTATCAGATATCACGGGTATTCAAAAATAACGATACCGGTCACCGGTAGTATTATTAGCGGCAATCCCCCAATGGAATTCTAACGGCTGTTCTGCAACCGATTTGGGTATCGCGCAGCGGCCAATCTCACTACTCACCAAACGCGAGTTAGTCTTGATTTTGTTTGAAATACATCAGTGGATCAGCATAATCCTGACCCCTGCGTCCAATGGTGACTTAGTTTCCAGATTCTCTTATTTGGAGCAAACTCTTTTACATTATTATAACATAAGTCTAAAAACGTCGACATTACCTAATGCGTTAGGGCCCCTCTTTGCTGAACTGAATCAGTCAAAATTCTCAAGGATAGTGCATCATCATCATGAAAGCTATTATACAGCAGCTCTTTTCAGTCATCAGAGGTGAAACCTATAGAACATTTTCATTATTTGTCCCAAAAACAAAGGAAAATATATTTAAGCGATCAAAATCAGAGAAATAAAAATTCTCCAGTACTAATTTTTTAGTTGATTTAACTAAGAATTTTATTACCGTTAAGCTACGGCTCTTCCAGAACAGCTGAAAAAAATTGCCAAAAGTATAAAAGTATACTGGGCCCTGCAGTACTACTAATGCTGTAGAGTTTCAGCCTAATGACGGATCTTTCTCTGGGATGAAGGGCAACTGAAACAATTATTTCTTTTTTCCTCTTTAATTCGCTACTCAGCTGATACATTGTCATTGTTAATAATTTTGAACATATCCCGAATATGCATACAGACTTACTGAATTTCAGTTATCGCATTCTTACTCATAACTTTGAAGTAGCTTTCCCAGTTATCGACTTTATGTTTTAAAATATGCCTCTTCATGCTGCTCTTCCGGTACATTATCCTTGAGCAATACGTACACATGAACTGAGAATTTCCACAGTCATACTTCACGTGGTATCTGTACGACGAATATTTGGTGTATTCTTTGTTACACTTCGGACAGTAGAAGTATTCTAAAATTAAAACCATTATAGAAATAGTTACTTTATAAAAACATTTCCAAATACAGTGCACAATGGACCAATCAAAATCGAAAAATGTTCCACTTATCAAAATACGTAAACCCTGATGTTTCTTACGCTTTCCTTCAAGAACGCCAGACCTAACGTCTGATAGATTGTAGCGAGTTCATGCATTTCTTTGATTAGTAAAGAAATCATGACCAGGTTTACAAAGAAACTCACACTAAGTCAGCAATCGAAATGGGAAAAGTGGATACTCTACTCAAAAGATGCAAGCTCACTGAGGAGAAAACGCGAAGGGAACCACGGCGACAATTGTCATTTGCACGCGTCAGATGTGACACATCGCATCCGCTCACCTCGCATCCGGTGTGCGTCATTTGATTTTGTGTCAAGGAACGAGCGAGAGATTCTCTTCTGTTCGTTTCCCTTCTCCTCGATGTGAGTGCACCTTAAGGTGAAGTTATGGAGACGTTTAATATCAGATACACATAACATTTCTTACGATGAAAGCATGTGTCTTATTAACCTCTATTTTATCATATTACTTGAAATTTTATTTTATTAAATTGCTTTTTGTGGTATCGATTTCAATTTTCTGTGAAATTTAAGAAGACTGAAAAAATATAGAACAAGCTAATTAATTAATTTATTCATAATAAAATATTATTTGATAAATGATCTTGTGAAAACTTAATAACAATACAACATACTAGGGGTAGTATGAAACATGATGAAAAATTACAAAATGTGCTTATATTTTAAGCATTTTGAAGCAGCTTTGCCTTTACAACTTTACATCATTCAGTGGTTCCATCCATTCCTTAACAAACGACCTTATATTCTATTATGTGCGCTGTCTATCAGGACATACTCCTTAACAGATGCATACTTCCAAAAGAAATTTTATTATCATGTCCTCGTCGCTTCCGAGATAGCATCCTAATTATAAAAATTACATTTCTCGTACTTTTTTTTATCGGGGTAATGGGACCTTGACATTAATATTAATTCTATGGATAAGATACATATGCTTGTAGAGGTTTCCTTTCTGAGCAAATTTTCTTTCACAAACAGTACATGGAAATTGTGGCTCTTTATTGCACTCGTACTTCACATGGTTGTACACAGACTGTACTCTTTTGTATCTTCTGTGGCAAACTTTGCAGTGGAAAAATGTTATTCCATTCTCTAGGACCTTGTAGTAAACTGAAAAAAAATATCAGTTAGTTCAAGTCAGTATCTAAGCCTGACATTCCATACTTTTACCTTTTGGAAGTCTTTTAGACCCTGATCCCAGATCCTGTTTGACATCTAGAGACATGGCTCTATTTTCTAAAAGCAGCACTCTTCCGCAACACGTTCTTATAAACTGTTAATTCTTCTTTAATCTTGAGTCCCAATACCAACGTCTGTGACTATTCAAAAGTTTTTGGGAGTAAAAAACCCAGCTTCATAAATGGAAAAAGTATTACCACACAATGAAAGTTTTGTCTCTGATAATACAATTGAATTATAATTAAAACTAAAAAAGATACAAGCTAATATTTATTGATTATCTTATTTACATTTCGTCCGATTTTATACATTCGCTTCTAGTTCCCTAAAATCATTAATATAAATTATCACATGGTACAAATTTAAATACTGAAGCTATATAAATACTTAGTGTTATCATATTTCCCTACATTTAGAATGTACCTTAATACAAAATGAAATACTCGTATTTACAGAAGCGGTAAATATCTGTACATGAAATGTGCTTTAATACTGCATTACAAAGTATTTTCTGCAGATCAGACATTCCTTGGAATTTTATTCATGCACACACGAATAGACCTTGTAAAAAATAATAAATAACACTGTTATTTGGATGGTTGTTGGGTAGTTAGGCCATCGTAAAATATTTTTACTTGACGTTTCGCCAACACGACTGGTTGGAATCTTCAGAAGATGTTCACAGTTCTGAGTTCTGTGAGCTACTGATATCTTCCCCCACGGCGTGGATGCAGAGGACCAGGAACCACCGGGACCAGGACCAGGACCAACCAGGACCAGGACCAGCCACGACCAGGACCCACCAGGACCAGGACCCTTCAGGACCAGGACCAGGAACAATATATATTTTTCGAAAACAAGAGTTTCAAGAGAACCTAGCAGACCCTCTATCGATGATCGCTTAACGACATCGATAGAATGTGCGAGGTAAAGGGAACCAACCCGGCATTCCCAGAGACTGAAACACATGAGGAGACGTTGTAGCAGACCGCAGGTCACGCACAACACATGGCCTACCGAGACGCTGATGAGTCGGGCCACGCGGAGGTTAGGGTTTAGTGGGTATTAGGTGGTCTCCTCAAGACAACCTGGAGTCCCACACACGCCGTAGCTCGGGCTATGGCACAGTGCGTAAACGCATTCCCCCCTCACCAAAAAAAAAAAAAAAAAAAAAAACGCGGAGACACAGAGTATAATAACAGAGGCGATTCTGTCAAAAACGCCAACTTGAATCCTATGCGTTTGGTGGGATTCGTGTTGCTGTGACATTTAGGATTTAGGGGTTATCAAAAACATTGAGTTTTATCAATACTATACAGCTATATTAGTATTTTATATTATAAATAATAATAATTATCTCGCCACAATGCATGTGGGTAAATGATAAACACAAATAAATGTCTTGATTATGTTGAAAGAATCATCCGGGCGCTAGTGAACATAAGTGGGACACAAAGATCAAAGGGACCGACAGCAGGTGTCGCATGTGGCGGAGATGTCAGTGGCTCACAGGAACCACTCGTGTTGGCGAAACGTCAAGTAAAAATATTTCACGACGGCCAAACTACTCAAAAACCAGCCAAATAACATTGGATAATGGCCGCGAAAGCCTTTAGCATTCCAATAAATAACACATTCTAACTCATAACAAGCTTCTTTCCTGTGATACCAAACGTTACAAAACAGTCACAGTTGGTAGTAATTAGATCATTTCCTTAATATAGCTCGGCCTGCAGAGTGATACATATCTGAGATTACAAAAAAATATGCGATACAATAGAAATTTATATTTAACTGTTGTAAGAACCAAACAACTGAGATCTATTTCTAATGATATCACTGAAACAGCGAAGAAAACTTTCATGTGTTTTCGTAAATATTAGTAGTTTAGATTTGATTGTATTTGAAATACCAAAACTATAGGTGTCATTAGATAATATCAGTCGTAATTCATATTCAAGATTCTTATCCTTCCTATGTTAATGATCCCTGTGTTAAATCGCCATTTCGAGACATTAGACATTTTTGATACCTGTTGATGTTTCCTCATACATAATAAAGGTTTAATCAAGATATTTTCGTACTTCCACCCTTTCTTCCGGATTCAGCAAATGATGCAGTCCAAAAGTTTCTTGATGCACTGTCGATATATGCTTCGTGATACTCGCCTTATGTTTTGCCTTATACCTGCACAAAGGGCAACTGAAAGCAGGTTCTTTCTGACATTCGTACTTCAAATGTCTCCACAACGATCTGTAGACTTTATAGATCTTCCCGCATATAGGACAGGCGAAGTTACCTGAAAACACGTATTTTTAGTATACTGAAATATTGAGGATCAAATATTATACACCACCAATTAAAAGAAGGTAGGAATATTTACAAAAATAGAAACAGCCAAAAAAAGAATTGTAGCTTTCTGATCGCGTCTTTCGACACAGAATTTATTGATTGCTACTTAATATGGTCCAGTTCAATGCCCTTAGGGCTAAGCGCCACACCCTGTATGAGCGAGTGTGAACTATTTAGAGATAGAAAACATTTTTCATCATATAATCTCCTTATACTCCGTACAATTGGTCCAGGAAATATTTTCCAGCTGCTTATAAAAATATTCCGATTCGGTTTTTGAAAAATCGTATAAAAAGTTACCCATTTAACGAATCTGCATGTTGCCAGGATCAAAATTGCCTCAAAAATTCGGTCCCAAACGATAATATGAAAGAAAGGAAATTTTTTTGTTCCATTATATTCTTCAAAAACATCCGTTAATGAAATCTCAAAGGATTTCTATTTTACCTCTGTCCACCTTTGTTTTCCTTCCTATGTCTCTGGCGAGGCAGTATTGTGATCGCGATTTTTTTTTTAAATGAACTCTTACGTCTCATTGATGTTATATGAAATCACGAAAAACCATGGCATTCATTTATGTCGCACTGTCTGTCTGTCCGCTAATCCTTGACTCCGCTATAACTTGGAAAGTTGGTCGCATTATGATGAAGTTTTCACACAAGGTTACTACTACGTCAAGCTAGTAAAGCTTCATAGTTTTTGAAAGGTGATCCGGAGGCGGCGCAGCTAGGAGCAAAAAAGTACAAAAATAAAAGTTACTCTTACTTCGGTTCATGACATTTCGGGGATCCTGATCACTTTTGAAAAAAAATTAGGTGGTGGAAGGTTGAAGGGGGATATGAGCCTGTTTAGCTAACCTGATCCATTTATTTTTTATAATTGTTTGTAGTTAACTTTTTTCTCAGAGTAGCCAGCTTGTGCCAAACATAATCCTTTGTGAACTAATGGCAGCGTTGCGAAGGAAGTGCAGAGTCAACCTACTTGGAACCATTTTTTTAATAGTTAATCAAGCACTCGTTCAATGTGTTTTCTACTTGCGTACGACCGAGATGCAGATGACGGCTGCTCTAATGCTATTTCCCTGGCTATTTCCGAAAACAATCAACCTTACAGAAAAGTTCCTAATAACTTTTTTTGTTCAGATTGACCCAAGAACCAAAAAAAAAACTTTGTCAGGTGCGAATTTATTTATAAGGCAATTTTGGACCTGAAAGCATGCATATTCGACAAAAGGATATTTTTCTGAACTGATGTGAATATTCTGATCTGGAAGCCCCGATAGGGTCTCTCATAATTGAGGAGCGGCTACTCCGACTATAATGTCCATACTTGTTATGGTTCATTGTGGTTCAGAGAAAAATTACATTAGTTAGCGACACTTCCTTGATACACAGTCTCACCTTTGAGCTCTTGCCACACCACCTCACCAAACTTCTGCTTTGATTATATACTCAAGGATCAAGCCATCTACCAGGAAAAAAGCTTTCCCAATTATACGGAATTTAACAAGTTAAAAAACTTCTCTCCTCAATTACCTGCATATTTGCTTCACTATTCATCAAATACGTCATACGTCCAATTGCATCTAGCTGCTACAAGTGAAGCATGGCTTAGATGTTATCTGGATAGCTTTTAAAATTTTAAAAACTTCATATTGATTGACACTTACGTACACATTATTAGTACACCCTGGAATACTATTTAACATCTGTGGAAGCGCCATCTGAAGAAAGTGACTAAGCCACCATAAGCGATAATTCCTTTACGGAAAACTTTCCACATTTGCAACCGATTTCATGTGCTTTCATTTATAATTTTTTTATCACTGAAACCGGTTGTCACTATCGTCCCCCCCCCCCCCTTTGTCG